CCCGCGGTCCGGTCTGGTCTGGTTCGGCCCGGCCCACTTCGCTCCGGCCGCCAGAAAGGTACAAAGTGGAGGGGCGGGGGGGATGCGGGCCTCACAGGCCACGCCCCTGCACAACTTTCCACCAATGGGAGCGCGTCTCCGCCTCTGCGCTCAGCGCCAGCTCCGGTTAACCCCCTGCGAGCCCGTTACCAGCGCCAGGTTAGCCGGGCTCCTGCGGAGGCTGGACCGCACGGCGAGGGGGCGGAGGGGCGTCCCCCACTACCCGGGAGGGTTATCTAGGAGGCCGGGTCCTTCGGGTCCGCGTTAGTGCCAGGCAGAAGGCGTTATCGGGAGTTTGGAGATTTAAACAGGAGCACACGCCCTTTGCCCAGAAAGTAAAGCGAGGCCTGAGCCAGGACCCGCGAAGCCTGTCCAGCCACCTCACCCATCGCCCCGTGTTCTTTGCACAGGAGGGATAGCGCCGGGGGAAGGGGCAACCGCCTGCCCCCACCAGCTTCCAGTGGGGAGCTCGGTGCCCACCTGGGGGTGGGCGCCCGTCCCTTCCCGCCCCACACCTTCCTTCTGGGCCCGGGGCCCACGCAGCCCCGGTCCCGAAGACGAATTAACGAGGTGGTTGCGGCTTGTACAAAGCACCTTTGTTCCCGAGCCCTCAGGTGGGGGCGGGGGAGGAGGCAGGTGCGTGGCCTTGGGATCGTGGGAGCCGCTGCCGGGCTCCACCCCGGCTCCAGGGCGCTGAGCACACCAGCCAGAGCCACTTTTCCCAGCCACCAATCGGAGGGTGGAGACGGCAGGTTCCGCCGCTTGGCTGGTTGGTCGGATGGTCGCCCCCAGGCGTCGGGGGCGAGGGCTTGGCGACTGGGGATAGCGAAGGGGGTACGATTCTCTTTGGCAATAGATTGTGCAGAGAGCCGCCCCAAGCTGGGCAGAAACAAGCCGCGGGCACCCGGGGGACGCCAGCTGCTCCAGCCTGGGACTCTCGTCCTCCCCATCCAGTCTTCGTCTGAGGCGACAGCGTCCCCTGGCGGCCAGACGAACCGCAGCGGGGGCGACCCGGACTTCCCTGAGCAGACAAACTCCGAGGCAAGCTCCTAAAATCTTCCGTTTATTACAACTGAGCAGAGAGACTGTGCGCACCTCCCTCAGCCAGGCCCAGCGCCCAGATTTGCCTAACCCCATCTGCAACTGCGTGCGCAGGTCCCCAGGGTGCAGCTCGACAGCTCGTGGGGTGTCTTAAGAGGCCTGCTCCTTGGCATCCAGGCTCTGGCTCCTTCCGTCACCGCGGGGTGTGTGGAGGGTACTGCAGGGGACCGGCCCACGCCTCTTTAAGTCCTAAGCTGGGTTGGAGGCAGGTGGAACTTCAGAAGAGGTCAGAGGTAGAGGGAGGACACAGCTGGGGGCGGCGGTGCAGGCCTGGGGTGCCGGAAGCAGAGAAAAAAGGTCAGAGGTCCCCTTTTCCCAGACCACTGGCCCTGCCCACCCCCCCACCCCCCATTTTCAGCGACCCTCTTTGCCCACCTGGAAGGTACCACTAGGGGCGGGATTCCAGCTCCTGGACCAGGCTGGTCACTTGAAGGACACAGGCCCTGGGGGTCTGCAGGGAGTGGCTTCCTCGGGGGTGGGGGCTTGGCAGGCCCCTGAGACTGAGAAAGAGAGAAGGTAGGACACAGGCTTGGGAGGGGCTGTCGTGTTGGCATCCCCCCCATCCCATGTGCTGGTGCTGGGGAACACCAGCTGTGGGGGGGGGGAGGGGAGCACGAGAAGTCATCTCTGTTTCCATCCGTCACCATAAGAGTACCAGTGGGGTATGTGCCTCAGCACAGAGGGGAGATCTCGCCACGGCCACAACCACCACAGCCCGGATGGTGGCAAAGGCTGTGACCTTCTCTCCCCCCACTGTTACCTTCGGGTGCCTCACCACCGGGTCAGCGGGCAGAGGGCGGGTGGGGGGATTAGGTCGGTCAGCCAGCACAGCCTGAACAGAGAGAGGGGCAGTGACTGTGAGAGCACATCGAGGGGCAGTGAGCATGCAGAGGTGCTCCCACGGGGTTCAGATCGACATGCACAACAGCCAGAGGGCAGGAGCATCGGGACATGCGCACAGGGCTCGGGGGCATGCCAGCAGATGTCTGGGGAGGAAGGTATGGTCACCGTGCTGTCCCTGGCCCGCTGCAGTCCCGCCACTAACCACCAGATGGTGGTAGAAACCAAGGCAGGAGGCTCACCCTTTGCTGCTTCTGGGGCTCAGAGTGTCTGAAGGCTGAGGGGCACCCGGGTCCCCTAATGAAGAGCACCACTGGCAGGGAACAGGGAGGAGAACTGCAGTTGGGCACCAAGCCTCCCGCCTGCCCTGAGCCAGGGCAGGGCCTGGCCCAGATTTACCTGGAGTTTCTTGGGCACAGGGTCAGGAGGCAGTGGCCTTGAAGGGGGTGCCGGGAAGCCAAGAGCACTAGCCTGCTGAGATAGCAGGAGGAGCAAACAGGCAGATGGGGGAGGGGAGGGAGCAGAGAGAGAGAGAGAGAGATGTGGGCAGAGAGGGTTAGTGCCCAGGGAGGGGCAGCTAGGACCCCCGGGACAATGGGGGTTTGCATGCCGTTATTCATTTGCATGCAGAGGGGGTGACCAGTGGTAGAGTGGGCACGGAGACCACCTCCACACACATACTTCTATCAGCAGATGCAGAGGGCTCAGGGCAAGGGCACTCACCAGCCCTCTCCACATGGTGGACACTGAAGGCCATCCTGGGTCCCACCCTCCCTTTCCTTCCAGGGACCCAGCTTGGTCTCAAAGCCACCAGCGTGGTTAGCTCAGAGGTCAGCAGACCCTTCTCTAGGCGACTGCCCACCCCGCTCCAGGCTGGGCTTTGTTTCTCAGCCTGCAACCAGGAGGGAGGAAAGGGCTGGCCCTAACTCCTTTGATGGACTCTTGGGCGCTGTGAGTCTTTCTCTGGGCCCACCCCAGAGCCCAAGCTGGATGCCGGGCCAAAATGGGGCCCTCTCTCCTCTGGCATTCAGGACTCACCTTGACACCTGGCATCAGCAGGGCCCTCTGCGGGGGTCCTGGGCGTTCTGGGGGACCAGGCTGAGCTGCCCTAAGCATGGAGAAAGGGCTCAGCCTCAGACCCTGTTCTCCACCCATACGCCACTCTTGAGTGGGGTTAACCCTTTGCAGCCCCTTGAGAGGAACATGTGTGGGGCTTAGGCCCAATGGGTGGGGGGCGGAAGCTGATGAACCCCAATTCCCCAGCACAGGGCCTCCGGGGGGAGGTGATCCTAGCATCCCAGCTCACCCACGCAGGTCTACCCGTCTACGTGGGAGGTGAAGAGTTCCAGGGAACATGGAGGGAAGGGAGGTGTGTGGGGTGTGACCCAAGGGGCTTGGGGTCAGAGCCAGGTGGCAGGGGCTGCAGAGGGGGTAGGGGCAGGGCTCCAGGCTGTTGTCCTCAAAAGAGCTGTGGAGGGAGCTGGGAGCAGGGAGGCTGGTACCTGTATTGGCAGCTGGGTCCCTTGAGCTGGCAGAGTCGCTGTCGCAAGCGGGCACGATACCAGTAGCTGGCACCAAGCAGCACCAAGATCAGCAGCAACAGGAGGCTGAGGAGCAGCCCTGTGGTCAGGGACCTGGAGGCTGTGGGGTGAAGGCAGGTTTGAAGGTGAGCAGGGCTGAGAACTCCACACCCAGGAAGGGGTAGGGGGCAGGGAGTAAAGTCAGGTGCTGAGAAAGTGAGGGGGTCAGGGGTCACAGAGAGTCAGGGAGCCAGCAGTGAAGGGGTGGGGAAAAGAGAGGGGTAAAGGATGAGCCACTCTGCCCTCCGGCTGCCCCTGTCCCCAGGCCTTGCTACCTCGGATCCGGGCACGGCAGTCAGGGGGTGCCCAGCCCTCCTCACAGTGGCAGAGCCTGTTGCTGTCGCAGACCTAGGAGGAACAGGTTGAACAATGAGGGGCTCTGCACTCTAGGGCCCTGTGTCCCTGTCCCCAGCTTTTCAAGATCCCAGATATCCACAATGGCAGGTGAGCTGGGGGTGAAGAGGGGCAGAGAGCCAGCACGCTGGGAGTCTTCATGCTGGAGGACATTAGATCCACTACCACTGTGATGCCTTCTAGATGCTGGACACCAAGTTAGAAGCTCTCAGACTCCTCTCTTGTCCCTCAGGAAGTGGGTACTATTACTCTGCCCATTGGACAGACGAGGACACTGAGCTCAGAGAGGTGAGTAACCTGCCCCTGGTCATGCAGCTAGGCAGTGGTAGAGCAAGGATTAGAACCAGGGATGTCTGTTGCCAAAGGCCTGGAGGCTCCCTGCTCCCCTTTCTCATTCCCACGCCAGCTCACCCCGTGCCCATTGCACTTGCTTCGGCATTCCTGTGCTCCCAGGAGAGCCAGAGGCTGGCATCGACGGTCAATGCACACCTGCCCAGTGGGGAAGAAGAGCAAAGATCACATTCTTGCAGAACTTACCAGCACTGGAAGCCAACATGGCTAAGGCCGCACCCTGCTTTTTCAGATGGGAAGACCAAGGCTCAGAGGATGACAGGACTTGGCTCAATCACAAGAATGTGAACTCCCCTCAGATCTGTGCCTTTTACACGGGTGGACGGTGAGGCCTGGGCACTGCTCGCCATGCTATCCCTCCCCACTTAGTGTGGCTCACCCAGGCTGCTCACCAGGCCAGGGCCACAGGCTGTGCCAGGTAGAGTCAGGAGGGGCTGGGCGACGTCGTTGCCCAGGTCCAGGTGTACCCAGCTGCAATTCAGGTGGGTCCCGTTGGCTTCTAGTATCTCCCAGTGCAGATCCAGGGCTGAGCCCAGCAGAGGCTGGGCCATGCCCCCCTGGCACTGGAGCTGCCCGCAAATGGCATCTCTGGAGTGAGGAAGGAGGCACGGGGTGTGGGAGTGGGGCCACGGCTCCCACAAACCTAGGGGAGGAGCCATTGATTTCCTCACTTACCTAGGGTCACAGGACAGGTAGCTGCCAGTAGGACTGCGCCCACAGTTCCCAAAGGCATCCCCCCGAGTATTGGCAGTGAGGAGGCAAGGGGGTGCGGCGGGCTGGGCCCCAGGCCCCCAGAGAGCCTGGCACTGTTGGGCATAGGAAGCACAACGCCCTCGCATGCACACAGCCTGTCCACCATCGCACGGCTCGCCATCCCCCAGACTGATATCAGGAGGGCACTGGGAGCTGTCTCCTGGGCAGAATTCGGGCAAGTCACAGTCACCTCTCTTCGGACGGCACTGCCAGCCAGCTGGGCGCAGCTGTGGAGGGTAAGTGAGTATCAGTGTGGGTGCCGGGCAAATCCAGCCAGGCCCTGGAGGTCAGAATGACTCTCTCCACCCCGGCCCCTGGCAGATGAGCTCTAGAAGACGAGTCCAGTCTGTGCCCACCTGGCAGTTGTGACAACAGGGTCCATCGGATGCACACTGTGCCCCTGGCCTCAGCTGGCAGGTGAAGTAATCACAGCAGGGATCGGTGCAGTCCTATGGGCCAGGGCACAGAGGGGCTGGGCGTCAGAGCAGGCTGGGCTGAGCTACCTCCAGTTCCTCCCAGAGCCTGAACCCAAAGACGCCCACAGCCAGTGAAAGCTACAGCCCAACAATTCACATGCTGTCCCTGCAGACAGGGAGGTGGGAGAGGGGTGAGAGAGCCCTTCAGAACCAGAGAGGGGCTCAGGAGGCTTGGAGGGAGCCCTTGAGCCAGGGCAAGGGCACAAAAGTGAGTGGGGCAAGGCTTTGGGTGAGGGCTCACATCTGGGAAGTCACAGTTGTACTGCTTGCTCAGCTCCACAATCTTATTTCCACGGACAGTAGCCATGGAGCGCAGGCGGGGCAGTTGTTCAAAGAGGCAGCTGCCCATCCCATCCAGGAGGGCTTTCTCCAGGGCCTGGCGGCTGCAGTTGCTGAAGTTCAGGCCGGGCAGGAAGCTGGGAAGGGCGGCAAGGAAGGTTGGGGCTGTTGACCACTCCCTGACCCCTGCCCAGCCCCTCTTTACATCCTGCAGTTACTCACTCTGTGGAGGCCTCCATGATGCAGCTCTTGGCTGGGGCTGGGCCTGGACAGGGGCAGCTGTTCCCAGGTGGGTCATGGTCCAGGCCCAGGCTGTGGCCCAACTCATGGGCTATCGAGGAGGCAACTCCCAGGATGCTTATGGAGTGGTCCTATGGGGAAGGGGCATCCCAGGTCCACCACCAGCCTAAATGCTCCTGTTCTCTCCTCAGCTGACCTCTTGGGCACTCAGCAGGCACTGCCTCTCTCCTTAGTTGCTTCTAAAGTAGGAGGAGAGCCAGGCCAGCGTGGCTCAGTGGTTGAGCACTGACTGACCTATGAACCAGGAGGTCACGGTTCGATTCCCAGTCAGGGCATATGCTCGGGTTGCTGGCTCAGTCCCCAGTGCGGGGTGTGCAGGAGGCAGCCAATCAATGATTCTCTCTCACCATTGATGTTTCTATCTCTCCCACTCCCTTCCTCGCTGAAATCAATAAAAATATGTCAATCATGAATGAATGAATAAATAAGTAAGTAAGTAAATAAATAAATAAATAAAGTAGTAGGAGAGCCCAGGCCTCGGGGGTGGGAAACCTGGGTTCTAGCTCAGCTCTGTTCTCCTTCCCTCACTGTGTGGTCCAGGGAGATCACCTCTGTTCTGTGGGCCTCAGCTACCCCCCCCAAAATGGGAAAACCTCCTAGGTGAAGACTGTACACTGATGAGCTGGCCATCAGTGAGGGTGCCCTGACTGCAGAAGCCACATGAAGCAGCCCTGCTCTCTATACCTATCACTTGGCGTTGGGTAACTCTGTAGTGGTTTCCAGTGAATAAATGGTACCACCAAGAGGGACTTAACTGGGAATGGGCAAGAGACCTGGGGACAGCTCACCATGTTCACACCTCCCGAGTAGTCAGGAGAACAGATGGAGTTCTGAATGGCCATGCCCACCATGGGCCCAGAGAATGAAGTAGCTCTGTGGAATTGAGAAGCCAAAGGTCAAGGCCAAACACCAGGGGAGGCCAGAGCTTCAGGGCCTCAGGTAGGGAGCTGGGCTGTACAACTGGCCAGGTCAGGGCAGAGCTGGCCCCACGGACTGAGCCTGGGGATCTTACGTCACCAGCTGGGCACTGTCGTGGGGCAAACGAGGCAGTAAGTTGGTCCGGCGCCAGTGGAGGAAGTTGTCTAGCGTGACACCTGGGTCTTGGCTTATCTCTATCAGGTCTTGATGCGTCCAAGCCTCCAGGCCCACTAGCGCCACTCGTACATTCAGGGGCCGGAAGAACTGAAAAAGAGCCGGGCTCAGGAGAGGGGTTCTCACGGTTAGGGGGCCGCAAGGATGCCATCAGCCCGACACTCACCGTGTCCAGGAGGTGGACCGCTTCCAGTGTGCGGTTCAGCAGGTACTGGAAGTCTGGGTACCTCTGGACCTGTGGGTTAAGAGAGGTTCCCGTGAAAGGTGGCAGGGGGGGGGGGGGGGGGTCAGGGCAGGACAAGCAGGGGCCAGCAAGCTCACCTCCGAATGATCAGCTACAATCATTAGCTCAATAATCTTGGTCTCTGTCACCACATCCCGCCTCCACTGTGGACAAGAAGGAGCCTCAGGCACACGGGCCGCTCACTGCCAGCAGCTGCAGGGCTGACCAAGCTGTGTCCACTCCCACCCGGAGGACAGTGAAGAGCCCCTCTTACAGAGGAACCACTGAGAGCCTGAGAGGCTAGGGACTTGCCCAAGGTAGGCCAAGAAGTACGTTAGGAAGCTGGGAGCAGAGCCCTGCTTTTCTGGCTCCAAATTCAATGTTTTTGTCCC